AGGCCATTATCAAGGATGATTTTATTTTTGGCCATTATCAAGGATGATTTTATTTTTCATTTATCAGGATGATTTTTTTTTCATTATCAAGGATGATTTTATTTTTCGGCCATTATCAAGGATGATTTTATTTTTGGGTCATTATCAAGGATGATTTTATTTTTTCGGCCATTATCAAGGATGATTTTATTTTTCGGCCATTATCAAGGATGATTTTATTTTTCTGCCATTATCAAGGATGATTTTATTTTTCGGCCATTATCAAGGATGATTTTATTTTTGGGTCATTATCAAGGATGATTTTATTTTTTCGGCCATTATCAAGGATGATTTTATTTTTGGGTCATTATCAAGGATGATTTTATTTTTCGGCCATTATCAAGGATGATTTTATTTTTGGGTCATTATCAAGGATGATTTTATTTTTCCGCCATTATCAAGGATGATTTTATTTTTGGGTCATTATCAAGGATGATTTATTTTTCCGCCATTATCAAGGATGATTTTATTTTTGGGTCATTATCACGGATGATTTTATTTTTTTGGGTCATTATCAGGATGATTTTATTTTTGGGTCATTATCAAGGATGATTTTATTTTTCCGCCATTATCAAGGATGATTTTATTTTTGGGTCATTATCAAGGATGATTTTATTTTTCGGCCATTATCAAGGATGATTTTATTTTGGGTCATTATCAAGGATGATTTTATTTTCGGCCATTATCAAGGATGATTTTATTTTTCGGCCATTATCAAGGATGATTTTATTTTTCGGCCATTATCAAGGATGATTTTATTTTTCCGCCATTATCAAGGATGATTTTATTTTTCCGCCATTATCAAGGATGATTTTATTTTTCGGCCATTATCAAGGATGATTTTATTTTTGGGTCATTATCAAGGATGATTTTATTTTTCCGCCATTATCAAGGATGATTTTATTTTTGGGTCATTATCAAGGATGATTTTATTTTTCGGCCATTATCAAGGATGATTTTATTTTTGGGTCATTATCAAGGATGATTTTATTTTTCGGCCATTATCAAGGATGATTTTATTTTTCGGCCATTATCAAGGATGATTTTATTTTTCGGCCATTATCAAGGATGATTTTATTTTTCGGCCATTATCAAGGATGATTTTATTTTTCCGCCATTATCAAGGATGATTTTATTTTTCGGCCATTATCAAGGATGATTTTATTTTTGGGTCATTATCAAGGATGATTTTATTTTTCGGCCATTATCAAGGATGATTTTATTTTGGGGTCATTATCAAGGATGATTTTATTTTTCGGCCATTATCAAGGATGATTTTATTTTTGGGTCATTATCAAGATGATTTTATTTTTCGGCCATTATCAAGGAAGATTTTATTTTGGGTCATTATCAAGGATGATTTTATTTTTCGGCCATTATCAAGGATGATTTTATTTTTGGGTCATTATCAAGGATGATTTTATTTTTCGGCCATTATCAAGGATGATTTTATTTTGGGTCATTATCAAGGATGATTTTATTTTTCGGCCATTATCAAGGATGATTTTATTTTTGGGTCATTATCAAGGATGATTTTATTTTTCGGCCATTATCAAGGATGATTTTATTTTTGGGTCATTATCAAGGATGATTTTATTTTTCCGCCATTATCAAGGATGATTTTATTTTTGGGTCATTATCAAGGATGATTTTATTTTTCGGCCATTATCAAGGATGATTTTATTTTGGGTCATTATCAAGGATGATTTTATTTTTCCGCCATTATCAAGGATGATTTTATTTTTGGTCATTATCAAGGATGATTTTATTTTCGGCCATTATCAAGGATGATTTTATTTTGGGTCATTATCAAGGATGATTTTATTTTTCGGCCATTATCAAGGATGATTTTATTTTTGGGTCATTATCAAGGATGATTTTATTTTCGGCCATTATCAAGGATGATTTTATTTTTTGGTCATTATCAAGGATGATTTTTTATTTTTCCGCCATTATCAAGGATGATTTTATTTTTTCCGCCATTATCAAGGATGATTTTATTTTCGGCCATTATCAAGGATGATTTTATTTTTGGGTCATTATCAAGGATGATTTTATTTTTCGGCCATTATCAAGGATGATTTTATTTTTGGGTCATTATCAAGGATGATTTTATTTTTCGGCCATTATCAAGGATGATTTTATTTTTGGGTCATTATCAAGGATGATTTTTATTTTTCCGCCATTATCAAGGATGATTTTATTTTTGGGTCATTATCAAGGATGATTTTATTTTTCGGCCATTATCAAGGATGATTTTATTTTGGGTCATTATCAAGGATGATTTTATTTTTCCGCCATTATCAAGGATGATTTTATTTTTTGGTCATTATCAAGGATGATTTTATTTTTCGGCCATTATCAAGGATGATTTTATTTTTGGGTCATTATCAAGGATGATTTTATTTTTCCGCCATTATCAAGGATGATTTTATTTTTTGGGTCATTATCAAGGATGATTTTATTTTTCGGCCATTATCAAGGATGATTTTATTTTGGGTCATTATCAAGGATGATTTTATTTTTCGGCCATTATCAAGGATGATTTTATTTTTGGGTCATTATCAAGGATGATTTTATTTTTCCGCCATTATCAAGGATGATTTTATTTTTGGGTCATTATCAAGGATGATTTTATTTTTCGGCCATTATCAAGGATGATTTTATTTTTGGGTCATTATCAAGGATGATTTTATTTTTCCGCCATTATCAAGGATGATTTTATTTTTGGGTCATTATCAAGGATGATTTTATTTTTCGGCCATTATCAAGGATGATTTTATTTTTCGGCCATTATCAAGGATGATTTTATTTTTGGGTCATTATCAAGGATGATTTTATTTTTCGGCCATTATCAAGGATGATTTTATTTTTCGGCCATTATCAAGGATGATTTTATTTTTCGGCCATTATCAAGGATGATTTTATTTTTCGGCCATTATCAAGGATGATTTTATTTTTTCAGTTTCATTGAGTGTGTGCGTTATCTCTATGTTTTTAGTGTGTTATAGAGACATTTTATTTTCCGAACATGGCTAGCACATTGTGGCTTTGTTCTTTTTTTTTTTTTATTATTAGGGCTTGCATTATTTTAAATCTTTTTTTTTTTTTTTACATTTGGATGAGGTTATTATGTTTGTGTTTTTTACTAGTATGTTTTGAATGGAATTAGTAGGTTTGTGTCTATGTTTAAATAGGTTCTAATAGAGCTCTGATCAGATAGATGTAACGTAAGACGCCTGGATAGGCATGGAGTTCTTTGACCGATGTAATTAATTATGAGTCCGGTTGGATCAAGAACAATGTTCCTTTAGAAGCATTTGAACTCATAGATAATGTTCGTGTGTCGTTATTATTGAAGATAAGGTTAGCTGTCTTAAATTTTTGGACAATTTTTCACTCTGTGTTCAAAAAAAGCTCTTGTTCGAAAACAAGAAAATTAAGTAAAAAGCTTAACAGTACCATGTCTGTCGTTTTAATTAATGAACACATATATATATATATATATATATATATATATATATATATATATATATATATATATATATATATATAACGCAGGATGTGTGTGTGTGTGTGTGTGTAAATACACGGCCGCAATTTTCGACGGATTTGCACCAACATTTACATGCATATGCTCCAAGTTATCAGAAAGGCCAAGATCTTCTTTGCATTTTCCAACTCCCATCGATAGCGGAAATAATCGATTTTTTCATGCTTCTACGGCACTTTTCATGTAGTTTGCGGCCATTTTCTATTGGCCAGAGTGATAGCCTATAGCTGGATGCCACGAATAGTCAGGAAGGTTCTATTGGCCAGCGTGAGAGCCAACAGCTGACTGACACGAATGTTAACTAGCATGCTAGCATGTAAAAGAAAATCGATAGCTGCATTCGTCACAAGTAGGAAAAATCTAAATCTGCATGGCACTTTACTCCAATTGGCTCATTTGCTTGCTTAAACACAACGTTGATTCTGATTCCGCAGAACTGGGTTGGGTGTGAAAAAGTATTTGTTGTTAACGTTCTTTTTTCATTCGGTTTTTACAGTTACGAGTTATTTTATAAAGCTGATCGTTTTGTGTTCATTTTGTTTAGTTCTTTTTTCGTAACAGATTTAATGTTTAGTATAGAGCTTAGAAAAAAATTCGCAGTGTGAGATAGACAAGAAGTAAGGCATGTAGCAACATCATCACGGCAAAGGGCACTCCTTTAAAGGCAAAGAAAGACAAAAATATTTTAAGTCAAGTGATAGCGATTGCTGTATGAGTCGTACGATTTTTGAATCAAGCACGGGCAACGCCGGGCCATGCTGCTAGTATATATATAAACAAATTCTTATAGAATTTGTCGAGGTTTATATTTTGCAGTTTACTAATCCGGAATATAAATTAGGCATTTCTTGAAAGCCGATATCCGCTCAGTTTGCTAATCCAAAATATAAACAAAGCATTTTTTTCGAAAGACCATTATATTTTGCAACATGTATTTATAATAAGAAGTAAAATAATCGGTAGGATTTAAGAAAAATATAATCTGAAATTTACATGTATATATGACTATAAAATATTTAAAGTATTAGAAAAAATAAGTATGTGTATTTTAGGATAATTTTAAATAATAATTCTTGTGTTTATCACGTTTAGTTTTTAGCAGAAAAAAACTTAAATATATATTTTATAATCTTACTTTGATAGTTGTTCGAAGTCTTGAAAATAAATACTTTAAATAAATAAACATTGAAATAAGTATTTATTTAGTTAATTAGATAACTCTGAAATTTAGCGTATTTAATGTGCGTTTATAATATATGTATATACACTGTCAATAATACCATTATTTTTATCTGACCCTGAGGATAGTTAACATTGCGAAAATTTTAGTCAGTTTACATAAGTATCATGAAATTTTGTATTCATTGATAAGATCTATGTATGTATGTATGTATGTATGTATGTATGTATGTATGTATCTATCTATCTATCTGTCCTTTCATCTCTCTCTATCTATCAGTCCCTTTATATTTCTCTCTCTAATTATAATTGTATAACTGCATCTATCTATCTATCTATCTATCTATCTATCTATCTATCTATCTATCTATCTGTCAGTCCCTTGATCTCTGTCAGTCCCTTCATTTTTCTCTCTCTAAATATATATAATTGCATAACTTCATATATATATATATATATATATATATATATATATATATATATATATATATCAGCCCTTCATCTCTCTATCAGTCCCTTTAATGTTTTTCTCTCTAAATATATATAATTACATCTATCTATCTATCTATCTATCTATCTATCTATCTATCTATCTATCTATCTATTAGTCTCTTCATACACCCTGTCTCTATCAGTCAGTATCTTTATATCTCTCCCCCATATATATATATATATATATATATATATATATATATATATTCATCTCACCCTCTCCCTCTATTTATGTGTATTCATATCTATCTATCTATCTATCTATATATCTATCTATCTATCTATCTATCTATCTATCTATCTATCTATCTATGATTCTTCCTAGGGATTTAATTCTATCTATCTATCTATCTATCTATCTATCTATCTATCTATCTATGAATCTTCCTAGGGATTTAATTCTATCTATCTATCTATCTATCTATCTATCTATCTATCTATCTGCATCTGTCCTATTCTGTCTGTCTGATCTCTACTCCGGTAGTAATTAATTTCGCTGTGCATGTATTTATAAATAACTATAAACATTATATTCAGCGAATAAAGGTGTTTCAGTAGATATCGGTGTCCTGGGATATATCACTAGACCGGTTGAAATTATTTTCGCATTTAAAAAAAGATATCTACGCATACACGTCTGCCCACTAAATATGAATTTTCTGGTCATAAGAAAAAATGCTGGAATAAAATATCCGAAAATTGCTAAAATGTCAATTTCACACCACAAGTGCTCATCAGACCATGCAATACTTTTTGCTATATCTTTTTTCTCTTTCTTTTTCTCGGAAGCCGATATCTGCTCAATTTTCTCATCTGAAATATAAATCAAGTAACTTTCTGGAAAGCCCATATCAGTTGTGCTATCGAAGATATACATACGGAAATTTTCACCGATAATATAAATCAGTGTTATGGAACCTTAACCATAATAATAATAATGGACTATTCCATACTTAATAAATACTGCGCATCAGGAGTAGGCAAGGAGTCAGTCAGTAGTTCCCGAAGGAGGCTACGCCGAAGGGCGGAGTCTCCTTCGGGGAGGTAAAACCGGCCCTGAACCCGTTTATGCGGGTTCAAACGGGCATATTTTGGGCCGAGTCCACGGGCTCGGGAAACCCACAATAAACAACCGACCTTGTGTCACATGTTGCCCCAGTGGGGGGGGGGGAGACTGAATACTGTCAGTCAGTAGTTCACTACCGACTGTTCGGTTGAACTCTCTTCCTACTGACGGGAGGAATCCGAACGAGGCTACGCCGAAGTGCGGAGTCTCCTTCGGGGAGGTAAAGCCGGCCCTGAACCCGTTTATACGGGTTAAAACGGGCATATTTTTGGGCCGAGGGCACGGGCTCGGGAAACCCACAATAAACAACCGACCTTGTGTCACATGTTGCCCCAGTGGGGTGGGGGGTGGGGGGGCTGAATACTGTCAGTCAGTAGTTCACTCCCGACTGTTCGGATAAACTCTCTTTCTACTGACGGGAGGAACACGTAGGAGGCGACGCCGAAGGGCGGAGTCTCCTTCGGGGAGGTAAAACCGGCCCTGAACCCGTTTAGGTGGGTTCAAACGGGCATATTTTTGGGGCGAGCCCACGGGCTCGGGAAACCCACAATAAATAACCGACCTTGTATGGCACCATGGATCCGGACGATTTGAAAGAAATATTTATAGATATATGATTTGTTTTTTTTTTACGGTTTATCAACCATTTGATAATTATTTAAGGCCGAAAAATATTTTAGGTTTTAAGAATAATTCTTTCTTTGCATTCAAGCGATTTGGGAGAAAGAAAGAGAAATCGAAGAAGAAAGAAAGAAAAAGTAATACCAGACGGGTCATAGGCGAACACACGCACACACGGCTTAAGAGACGGAAATGAGGAGGAAGAAGGTTATTGTTGATAGATATCTGATGTCGAAAATATCTAGGTCACCTACGAACAAGCGCTGACCGATTTCCGCTTGTCCACGAAAAATGGAAATTTGTTATCAATTGGATGTCACCCAAAAGAAGAAATCCATTGGAAACCCACAATAAATAACCGACCTTGTGTCACATGTTGCCCTAGTGGGGGGGAGACTGAATACTGCCAGTCAGTAGCTCACTACCGACTGTTCGGTTGAACTCTCTTCCTACTGACGGAATGAACCCGATGGAGGCTACGCCGAAGGGCGGAGTCTCCTTCGGGGAGGTAAAATCGGCCCTGAACCCGTTTATGCGGGTTCAAACGGGCATATTTTGGGCCGATTCCACGGGCTCCAGGAAACCCCACAATGAACAAACGACCTTGTCACATGTTGCCCCATGTGGGGTGGAGACTGAATACTGTCAGTCAGTAGTTCACTACCGACTGTTCGGTTGAACTCTCTTCCTACTGACGGGTGGAAACCGAAGCTACGCCGAAGGGCGGGAGTCTCCTTCGGTGAGGTAAAACCGGCCCTGAACCCCGTTTATACGGGTTCAAACGGGCATTTTTTGATCCGAGCCCACGGGCTCGAAACCCACAATAAATAACCGACCTTGTGTCACATGTTGCCCCAGTGGGGGGAAAACTGAATACTGTCAATCAGTAGTTCACTACCGACTGTTCGGTTGAACTCTCTTCCTACTGACGGGTGGAAACCGAAGTTGGCTACGCCGAAGGGCGGAGTCTCCTTCGGTGAGGTAAAACCGGCCCTGAACCCGTTTATACGGGTTCAAACGGGCACATTTTTGAGCCGAGCCCACGGGCTCGGGAAACCCACAATGAATAACCGACCTTGTGTCACATGTTGCCCCAGTGGGGGGAAAACTGAATACTGTCAATCAGTAGTTCACTACCGACTGTTCGGTTGATCTCTCTTCCTACTGACGGGAGGAACCCGAAGATGGCTACGCCGAAGGGCGGAGTCTCCTTCGGGGAGGTAAAACCGACCCTGAACCCGTTTATACTGGTTCAAACGGGCATATTTTTGGGGCGAGGCCACGGGCTCGGAAAACCCACAATAAACAACCGACCTTGTGTCACATGTTGCCCCAGTGGTGGGGGAGACTGAATATTGTCAGTCAGTAGTTTACTTTTTAACCGTCTGTTCGGTTTAACTCTCTGCCCAGGCTACGCCGAAGAGCAGATTCTCTTTCTGGGAGGTAAACCGACCCTGAACCCATTTATACGGGTTCAATGGGCATATTTTTAGCCGAGCCCACGGGCTCAGAGAGCCTACGTTAAAAAGGCCCTGTGCCAGATGACGCCGTCGTGGGGGGGGTGACTGAATATCGTCAGTCAGTAGTTCAAGTGAGTGAGTCAGTAGTTCAAATGGAGTCAGTAATTCAAGTCGAGTCAAGAGTCGCCTCAGAGGCAGTCCGAAACAGAGTCGCGTTCAGACAATTACGGCAAGACATTGGAATAGTGATACTGGTCGAGACGTCATTGTTCTCTCTAATAAGCCTGATTGTTCGTACTAACACTTCTACTTCTCTGTATATATTCCTATTTGTAATATATCTGTGTTATTCCATATCCGTATTCGAGTTCTTCTTTATTGGTTCTACCTAGGACTATCACCATGGTACAAGGAACCGGACCATAACAATCAGAATATTTTTTCGGAAGCCCCTATCTATTAAATTCTGTTCTTTTCTTTTTATTTACCATGTCTTTTCATGATGTAAGCGATCATGTCTTTTCTCTGGTCAATCATTAAAAATAGCTAAGATCGAATGAATGTTCTGCATAGATTGAAACTTACTTTCCTTTTCATGTGCCACATCCTTTCAGGACGTAGGCGATCATGGCTCTCCACCTCCCTCTATCCCTTGCAGCTCCCAGCAAGTTCCTTCCCCTCCGCTTGCCCTTGTTCAGACTACAGTTTACGCCAGATAATGCGCTCTCTCCCAGGAGGTTTAACTCTAAACCGCAGGTATAGATGTGTAGGTATCGAAGAAGGACACATGTGCCTGAGCTGACGCCTGCAAAAGGGATTGGCTAGCCGTCCTATTAGACGGGCATACCCGCATACGAGCGTCCAGTTATTATGCCATGCTCATTAGTGTCTAAACTGTCTTATTTATATTTAAAAGTTTTCTCTGGTCAATCATTAAAAATAGCTTCGATTGATTGAATGTTCTAGGTTATAAAGAAGGCAGTTTTTCATGCGACTGCATAAATTGAAACTTTCTTTCCTTTTCGTGTGCCACATCCTTTCAGGACGTAGGCGATCATGGTTCTCCACCTCCCTCTATCCCTTGCAAATCTCAGCAAGTTCCATCCCCTCAGCTTTCTCCCTCAGACCGCGTTCTGTCATCCACTTGCTTAAGCCCGCCAGGTATTTTCACGCGCTACTTTCCCTTGTCTCTCTTTTCCCCTTTTCGACCCCTGAGTATCAGATTCTCCAGGCCCTCCTTCCTCATTACGTATCCCAGAATCTTCCGTTGCCTCCTCCTGATATTAATTATAAGCCTTCTCCTTTGCAACCTCTCTAAGATGTCCATGATATCCTTAGCATCTTTCTGTAGAACCACATCTCCGTCGCCTCGAGTCTCTTCTTCAACTTTGAGACTGTCCAACATTCGCTGCCGTAAAGGAGGAGATGTCACGTCGCAGCCCATTAGTCTTTTCTTTGTTAGCAAAGAAATCTTCCTGTCTCGCAGTACACTGTACAGCTTTTGGATTGCGTCCTGGGGCATCCTAATACGTCTACGGATCTCAGTGACGCTTCCCAGATATTTAAACTTCTGCTTGATTCTAGTGTTCGCGATCTGCAAATCGCAATTCGGGATCATCCTCTTACCATGCATTCTGTCTGCTAGTAGTTTATGCTTACTCCTTTCTCCTTACTCTCTGTCGCTACTTTCTGTAGGTGATTTTGTAATTCCTTTTCTGTGTCTGCTCTCAGTACTGCGTCATTTGCATATCTTATGCTGTTAAGATAGTGGTCGACAATGCTATATCCGGGTAGGGTTTCCAATTCTCTCAGAATTGACTCGCTGTTAACTGTTCAGTTTACTTATCCAAAATATAAATAAGGCAATTTTATTGAAAGCCTATACCAATTTAACATATTTATCCGAAATACAAATAAGTCATTTTTCTTGAAAGACGCATTCTGCTCACTTTGCTTAATCGAAATACAAGTAAAGCAATTTCATCGAAAGCACATATTTTCCTGATTTACTTAACCGAAATATAAGCAACGTCATTTTAGCGGAAGCCGATATCTGTTCAGTTTATTTATCCGAAATATAAATCAAGCAATTCTTTTAAAGGCTCATCTATGCATAGTTTATTATACGAAATATGAATCAGGCAATATTTTTGAAAGCCGATATCTGCTGAGATTACTTATCCAAAATATAGATAAGGCAATTTTCTAGGAACACATTCTGCAAAGTTTATTTATCCAAAATATAAATAAGGCAATTTTCTCGAAAACACATATCTGCACAGTTTGCTTATCAGGAACATAAAAAAGGCAATATCTGTTCAGTTTATTTATACGAAATATAAAT